TAATAAAATCATTAGGCGGCAATTCTAAGTGAAATTTAATGACACCATGAGATTCTGGCATAACTATAAGAAGCCTAGAATTACCTAAGTTCTCATTCAATATCTACTGAAAGTATCGTAACATGCTATAGATAACCTTAGTTAACGTTAAACCCAATTAAGATTCCTGAAAAAAGGTAAGGCAGCACAATTCTGAATCATCTATTAAGTTAGCTTTGATGATAAGAATTCGCCTTACCTACGAGTTTAATGTAGATAGAAAAATAAAATTATGATCAAGTCTTGCCTGTGGGTAAAGAATTGATAACTCTTAATGTGGGTTTTGAAATTGGTTTGGCAGTCACAGATACAGGGGAGGAAACGAGCCCAGAGGCCGGCATTAGTGCGCTAGCTGGCACCAGAACGTAGGTCGGTGGCTGTTGTTGCTGCTGCAGCTCAGATGCCGGATTGGAAGATAGTTGTTGTTGTTGCAAAGGATCAACTAGTTCAGAATTTGTGACAAGTACTACGGCTCCGGGCGAATAATGCTCTATGTTAGAGCTCTGCAGTTCTTCCAGATTTACTAAATAAGAAGAACGCTTGGGCACACTATCCACTACCGGGTGCGTTGACCGCTCACTAAGTTCGCAAATCTGCTGCCCCCTGTCACTTGAGCCAGAATGGACAGGAGTGCCTTCAAGCGTCAGTCGAAAGTCGGTACCTTCGGGGCCTAGAGAAGGAGCGCCATTCGAGTGAATCGAGGGTTTTGGATTGCCTGAGTAGCCGGGAAGGCAAGACGATCGATGGATGGCAAGGACGCTTTACCAAGACACAAAAGACATATATGAAAGAACAAACAATTGTACTCAGCCACTCAACGCCATAAGTGATTCACAAACGCACCATCACGCAAAATAAATGTAGTCAAGATATTCAGGACTAATAGCTAACATAATAAAAGAAATCAAAATGATTCAAAATTTTCAGTCTTGACTCCAGACCTAGTACTCCAATATATAAATGGCTTTGAGAATGGGTCTTTCGTCGTATTCAAAAAAGTAAGTCATGCATACATCAGAAGCCATTAAAATAAAAATGTCCACACTAGTGAACCCATTGATAATGATATTCGAAGGAAGCCCAAAAAGATTCTAAGCATTCATATAATAAAGGAAAATTATATTCAAGATGAATGCTAAACTTATCAAGTAGAGATGTAGCTTTATTATTTCCATATTCTTAAGAAAAATATTTATAGAAGAACTCATCTAAGTTACCATGGCAGTAACATGGATTCCAACAATTTCAGAGCTAGTAGCAAAAAATAATTATGTACACACCACAATAATATGCACTCAAAAATTTCAAGGATATAAGCAGAAAAAATTTATATATATAAAGAATGAAGTAGTATAACTTTGAAATTATTTCAGTAGTCCAATTATGGGAAAAATATCAAAAGCGAATCGAATGCAGACTGAAGGCCCACCCTAAGTATCACTTTAAAGGATCGATACAAACATTTTGCTTGTCCGAGTAATTGGTCCCATTACATCTTATTTCACTGGTAGTCGAAAATAGGCAATAGAACCATAGATTAGGACATGTTGAAAAGACAAGTCAAATAATTAATATTATGGCGCCAATAGGTGATTTATACAGACAATACTAAAGAATTCAGATAGCTAAAGGATTCTTTTTTCCTTAAAATGATATTGCCTATAAAAGGATATAAAAAATAGTCGCTTGGATTTAGATATAACTTTTCAAGTAAGATTAAATATTACTAGTGTAAATAGAATCCTGCTAATTTTGGCTTAAAAATATATTCAATTAGTTCATTAACGAGAATATGAAAAAATTCAAAAGGCATTCGGGGTATTAATTTTTAAAAATTATTCTTGAACGATTCGTTTGATGTTTTTAAGTGGCTACAACCTTAAATAAGATATATCAAACGAGGTTCTAAAATTATTCATTAAATCAAATAATCAGGGAAACTTGATAAAAATGATAATTTTACTAGGCACAATCAAGTATCATTGGGCTCACCCCAGTAAAGTCAAGTGTCGACTTAAGTTCAACATTTAAATGAGAATATTAGTTTAAGAAAAGGAATATTCGGGGCTAAGAAACCATCGGTAGATAAACATTTATAAGTTAAATTTAATCAGCTGTAGTTGCTAATCTAATAACTAGGGTAACTCTTGAGGGATGAATACGTCAAAGACATAGATATAGCTAGAAACATGGTAATCTACTCAATGAAAGATGAAAAGGAATATTTTCATATCTCTATATTATGTCAAGTTGAAAGAAAGGCTAAACAGGACATAAAGTAAATTGGGTTGAAGATCAGATGCTTTCTATGGGACTATAAGGAAAGCGGTTTCGAAAATTTTCTTAAAAGCTTCAAATCTGAACCATCCATTTTAGTTTAAAAAGGATACGTAGAATGACTAGCTCAGAAAGTGAGCAGGATTAATCAGGAGAGGTATGATTAGCCTTATGTCTGGTTTATACAGTATAAGCTCAGCTGATTCATGAACCATGTATAGAAAAAAACACAGCCCTATTATTGGATTGATGTCTTGCTGAATTTTCGTAAATGGTGGTTCCTTACTATGCCGATATGTCACATAACAAACAAAAGCTTAGCACGAATTAATCGAAATACCAGGATTGTGAGTTGGTTTCGAGTAAGATCAATTTACGAATTGTTTCTGTATTATTTTGAAGCAAAATGAGAAGACAAGACAAGATAATATTCACTAGAATTAAAGTTTACAAGTAGGTTTCCAGACTACCATTACATCTTATATAAGAAGTATATTCACTCTTTTTCGCTTAAGGTGTCTCATGTTTCCATTTAATTTCGCATAGCCTTGTTTAAAAAAAGGTATGCTTATCCTAAATGGACTGCAGTGTTGACCTCGCATAGGTAAAGACTTCTCAGAGGAAATCAAGCCCAGACTGTAGTAATACATGCGAAGAAAATTTGGGTTTCGAGGAATCTCTTGTTTCCCTCGGAATGGAAGTAAGATCAACAATGTAGTAATACAGCCTATAGTATTGACACATTAGTCCACTATGACAAACTATCATGAGTGCCTTTGGATTACAGGGCAGATGTGAATTTCAAAAAAGACTAGGTTTTTACCATCATTGCTTTGAGACTGTCGAGAAAACACAATTGCATTTTCTAGTTCAGACGATAACGTTAATTATCTTTATTTATAAGTGGGTTTTGAGACTACAAGAGCTGTATCATCCCTATTTCGTTTTAGGTGATAATAGTAATAGCAAATACAAATATGTTTCATCGAAAATCCCAGAAATTCACGTCTGCCCTGTGACCCAAGATCACTCGTGGCAACGTGATAGGACTTTAGGCAGCACTACCGCATACCCGATTGAATTCCGCTGTGGGATGCTGGTGAGTGCCAGAGGAGGAAACTGCAGTCTGCCCTGGATAGAAATACATTGTTGGGAGTGTGTGAAATTTAATGGGAACATTAAGCATGCTCATAGGATTGTAGGAGTCTACTACCAACATGAAACAGGGTTTATATTGCGGTTATCGGGCCAATTATTTTGTTAATACGAGAAATTTTATATATAGATTCATTTGGAAAGAGCCAACTTATTATTTTCGTATTAAAAACAGATTTTAAGTTATTCTATCACAGCTAAGAAACATCATAATACAAATACTATTACTTAAAAGGTATTACATAAATAGCAACCATCTGAGGCAAAATTGCTTCGGTAGGCAATAATAAAAACTACCGTTCTA